CTTACTTTCAAAATAAACGGCCCATATATTTTATTCTTCGGATTCGTCGTAAACTTGATCTTCACAGAAGATAGCTAGCGTGACTCGAAGAAAATTCTCCGATTTTTGTCTAACAGTTTCTGAAGTCCGACACTTGCACTATCTAAATCGAGTTTAAATCACAAAGAGAGTAAAATCAATTAGCACATATAAATTCAGGATCGTCGCGTAAATCACTGGTCGAATTGTACCGAAATAGTCCTTGACATACATAGACTGGTTGATTTGCGAGTGGTTTCAATGTACTTTGTCTTGTGCCGTATAGTTTGAGCAACTACGTATGTGCATGGACCACTTAAATGGGACCGCTTGAATAACTCCATTGTTTTTAGAGGTATGAATAAACATTGTTAAAAAAAAGTTATTCAGTATACTACGGGGGCCATAATATGGCACTAACAATTTTTCTGTAGGTGAAGAGGTTTCGAAGATTTCGAGGTCACCTCTTAAATGGAATAATTTATTTTTCTATCCGACATTCTCCGTGAGAAAGTGTTAATCCGTGTATGTATGCTATTAGTTTAGGAGATATTTTTATACTTTGAGCGCCACGTCTCTCAATTCTGGCAGACGCAATGGCACAGGCCTCTGGAAGACGACATTATTTACTCAAATAGACAGAACTTTTATACTTGTTTGTAAATATATTGAATTTAAATAATTGAAATTTTAATTTGTAGGTACATATATATATATATATATATATTTTTTTTTATTTATAACTAAAATATTACATTCACCACTTTGGTGATAAATGGCCAGAGGTTTATACTTCGTTGTAAATGTAATATTTCGTTGAATAAATGAAATATACATATTTATTCATTTACAAATCAAAATCTCATTTAAGTTCAATGTGTTTACAGATAAGTGCAAAAATCGTTCCTATTTAAGTAAATAATATCGTCTGCCGGAAATAGTGGAGGAAAGTCATGCGGTAAGTTGCACGTCTGCTAGAATCCGAAGACGCGAGCATTCAGAGTGTTAATTTTAATTCTGTAAAATTTATCGTATGAAAGACAGGGACAGTATTTTCTCGTTTTTTACGCATAGATTTTACGGAATTAAAGTTAAGAGATCTCCTAAACAGTTTGTCGACATGTATAAATTAATACTTATGAAGAATGTCAAGATGCGCCGATTGGATAAAACAAATATCATTACATTTAAAAAAGTGTAGATGACTTCGAAATATTCGAAACCTCTCCAAACCTCTACAAGAAAAAAATCATTACTGCCCCCAATTATGGCCCCCAAAAGTATCGATTAAGTTTTATTAACAAAATTTATCTATGTCTCCGGAAAGAACGGAGTTATTTAGGCGATCTGTATATTATCAGCAACAAAAATTGTTGTGTAACATCTAGAACGTGCTTTATTTGTTTTTTTTATCATGTTCGTGCGATATTCAATTAGGTGTTTACAGTGAATTCGATTAATATTCGGGCACTAAATATTCAAACTATTATAATTTTGTAAAAAAACACAATAGTAAACTTGAAGTTTATTTTAAAGCTTGAAGCCTATACTTTCGATATGCATCATTCATTTTATTTTAAACTGTTTTTACACTGTGTAACGAAAGAAAACGACGAAATAAAAACATTTTTCTTCTCGAAAATCCTATAAATTATCACAGTATGTAAAAAAAATTGAAAAATTTGTTTCATTGATTGAATTTACAACGAATTTGAAGATTGTAGTCTTTCCTTTACAACGATCTCTCAAAACTTACTGTATAACTTTTGCTCGCTAATTTATTGAACAAATTTGAAATAACGAAGAAAAATCGAACGTCAATTATTTAATGGGGATTTTTGTAAAGAGGAGGCTTCAATTTCCAAATTCATTATATAGATTCAGGTCACGAAAAAAATTCTCCAACATTTTTACATACTACGACAACTTGTAATACTTTTGAGAAGAAAAAAATCTTCACTTGCCCACCTTATGTTACGTGATATAAAAACATTTTAATACAAACTGAATAACATATTTCTAACGTAGAAGCTTTAAGCCTTAGAATAAACTCAAGTTTGCTTGATGCACAATTTCTTTTCAAGAAAGTTATAACAGTTTCAATATTTAGTGTCGGAATTAAATTCAATATTTAAATATCCGAATGTCAATCGGATTCATTCCGACTCCATCGATCCACCAACGAAATTAAAGCTTCCAAATATTGCCTCGATTACGTTAATATATATATATATATTTTTTTTTTTCTTTCTGTATTAATTGGTTCCATATTAGTTAAACGAAGCAAGGCTTAATATTTAATTAACGAATAGTTGATAGAAAATAGAAACGAAAATTCGAATGATATGTAAATAGGTAATTAAATGATTACACGGAAGACCGAACGTTATTTTGTTTGCAATGTCAGGATGGATACATGATAATTGTCAACGTGATTTGGAGTATCAAGGCTAGGAACAAGTCGATCCCTTTTATCGTCAAGTCATTGGCAGCACCGGTGCCAACGTTGCAGTACGATTGTTCGCAACAAGTGGTGCAAGCGGACAGCTTCGTACGTTCGCCGATCACTATACATCCGGGTTCACATTTACTAGTGCACTTCCTCTCCATCGACCATGTCTGAGGGCTAGAGGTTGAATCTTCCGTGCTGGTAGTGTAAGAAAATCGCTTTACCTGGAAAAGGGAGAATAAACGTGAAAGAATTATTATTAATTTCGGTGATTTCGTGAGGAAGGACGAGTTACAACTGCGGAATAATTTCCTTCGTTTAAATAATCAACGATGTTTTATTAATTGTTTATCATAATTTAAATAAAAATAATTCAAATTCGAATCGATGTATATTTATTGTAATTTAAATAATTTAAATTTAATTATTTATTAATGATTGAAATAATTATTCAAGGCTGTACTTTCATACTTGAATTCCTCTCGTATTTCTGAATACTTTCTTCTTCAATACTTTCATATTTCGTAAAAGAATCCTACTGTTTGATATATTCGTATTTATATACATATTGTATATTCATATCATATATCATGTTTCCCTCATTTGAGACATTTTCTGCTTTAATTGAACAGAAATTTGTATTGATAGAATACAAGTGAGAATTTAAATCTTATCAAAAAATGTTTTAAGATTATAACGACAAATTTTTGTATAAAGTCTTAAATAATATTACGAGTTAAGTAGAAGTAATTGAAAAGTCAATATCAATTATAATATTTATATAATGTAAATTTTCAAACGAAATTTCCAGAGCATTTACTTTCTTTCAATTTCATTTTTGTAATTTAAATAATAAAAATATACAGATATTTATTTCTAAATACTTAGAAGAAATTTAAAAACAAAATAATATATAAAATATAATACTTCTTAAAATTTCCTACAAAGTTCATTTTTAAAAGCAACACACATGATTATTTCACTTTGTGTAGCTAAAATTATTTAAACTCTCTTATTTTTTATTCCACATAATATTTCATATTCGAATTTATAATTCAACTTGTATAACTTATCTAAATATAAACGTAACATATTTTCAGTTGAGAAAATATCAGTTCTCCAACGCAAAAAATATCATAGTAATATTTTCCAACATGGTTCGTATTATTTCTAGAGATACAATCCGCTCTTTATTTATTTTCAGTTAATATTAACTTCAAGTTTGATAAAATTTTTACTGTTATCTTTGTCCTTCTGAAACTTACATATGGAGTATATATCGTACATATATTTCTATGTGTACGAATTTCTCTGATTATTTATCAATATGTGATTATTTACCAATTTACGAATTTATCAATACATGACGATAAAATTAATATTTACTTTCTATTTTTCTTCTTTTGTCAAAATAAATAAATTGATTATCATTCAATGTATCAACATGGATCAGAACTCAAGTGTCAGTATAGTTGTAGTATAGAAATTTTTCAATATCAATATAAATTTGAAATACATACATATCACAACATTGCAAAAGAAATTTTATTTCCATCTTATACTTTTCTTTCCTTTTTCGTCAAATTGAACTAACAAACATATAAACATATCACCTATAATTCATCATAAATGGTATAATTCATAATTTTATTAGAATTTCACGAAATTCCAAACGCTCATATCATAAATTATTATGCGTTATTATAATTATTTTCAAACGTTGCGTACGAAATGAAACTGTCTCTATCTTTATTAGACTTCTGTCGACGATAACTAATATCACTTCTAGTACGTCCTGTTTGCTCTAACAACATGGGAGAAGCAAAATATCAAACATTTGTTGAAGGCACGCGTGTGCCCTGCATACAATCAACAAGCGTGCTGTTATCGTTTGTCATTACCATGCAGGTCCTTTTGTCGCCAGTGCATTTGTGTCCAAAAGCGGTGGAATTTACCGTGAGATTGGCACATCTCTCTCCATCTTCCATCGTTTCACATTGATAACACCATAAATCGTTTATTCGTTCCGATGCAGCGTGAGTTCGATGCTCCTTAGATGACAATTGCCCTGATTATCGAACACAATCAACCGGTAAGTACACATTGACCAATGAGAATTTATTTTATTTTCGGATTTAGATTTAAAAGATTCAGACGGTTTAGAAGAGCATAACGGGACGACGATAATTCAAGTGGTTATAGGTTTCCAAAGGAAAAGAAATTTATACAACAATCCAACAATCTCAGTTTAAAGCGTGAAGCTTCTACCTTGAGTACAGTTGTGAGTTCGATACTTTTATTTCTTGAAAATTGTCAAAAATCAAACGTCTCTATTAGCAACATTGAAAAATCGTGACTGGATTCTGGTTCATGGTTCTCGAAAATTTGGAACGACTACTGAACACTTGCTGTACGCTTCGTCTTCACCATTTTATTGATCTTTGAACATTGAAGTTAAAAATAAATAAATTGCTTATTTTAAATGAAATACTACATTATTTTCATATCGTACAAGATGATGTTCGTTTGTTCAAGTTAAATAGCTAGAAAATAGATTAAAGTCGTAGCATGTGATTTACATATATATATTATTTAAAAAATATGCATTCTGAAATAAAAAAAGAACAGAGAAATCAATACGTTCATGACGTTCATGAAAATACGATCAACTATAATTCACGACAAAATTCAAATATGCATAACTTATTAAACTTCTCATAAAACGAAAATCACCTACAATTACAATAATCATATCATACATGTAACAAACAATAACACCTAAAAATACTTATACAGACTTTGTACAACGATTACATGTTATATGTAATTTTTAACTTTGTGAAGGTTTAGAAAAAAAAAAAAAAAAAAACAAAGAACATATGCCACGTTACACTCTTATTCTTTTGCAATAAATGATCCTGGAGGACAAAATACATGCATTATCACAGACTGATGATCGCTGATCCTGTAATACAAATCCAACGACCGCATGCGTTGTTACATTGTGCAGATCACAAGTTTGTGAAAGCAAGAGTGACAGAACTTTGACTTATGTGTGGAAGCAAACTCGAACTCGAACTCGAACTCGAACTCGGGTTTCGTCCAGATCAAGTGGAAACACATGTTAAACACGGGACAAGTGATTTGAGTTGTAAAGGATAGGGGAACCGAGTATTTCGAGTTCATCGTGATTCGACTGTACAAAATATAGAAATATAGTATACACCAGTTACCCTGTGTTTAGTCAAACGTTAAACGTTTGAAGAACATTCAAAAAAAGAAACAATCGTACGTACAATTCTCTCAACATATATAGATGCAGTATAAAGGACCAAGTCGGTCAAACAAGGACGAGTATAGTAGAAACAGTGTGTAATACTTACCATCGACTTTGGCGATCGAGGCAAGGACCAGGAAACACGTGACAATGGTACATGTACCATGGACCATGTTGATCAAGAACACCGCATCAGGTTCGAGAGTTAAATCGTTGGCCTTTGTCACTCGTGCACTGATCGCGTCCTGCTGTATCGCCGCGAGCGTGATACCGGACGATATCGTCGTTGTTGAACAGCCATATTGAGACAGCTGACGTCTGCGCTCGGCGAAACGTAGGTACCACCTGTTCTAGAAACCTCGAGACCCCGAGGAAAATCAATATCCATGGCAGCCGGAAGGTCCTGTTTCGTTTAGCGGGAACGTTTGACGTCAAAGTTTCTGCGCATCCGCGTTATATGTCCAGGAAACAGAAAATTCACCGTCACAGAATCGATGATTCGCCGACACCGCAACTAAATTCGACTCGCGAGAGCCGCGTGGACGTGTAGTAGCAAATAAAATTTGCCAAACGACCGCATTCCGACGGTTATCGATAAACGCGATCGATTTGAAAGGCATCGATCAGCTTCATGCCAATCGAATATTAGGGGAGGGGGGTAACTTTGCTTTTGTAAATTGGCACAGCGGACCTGGACCGGTCCGTGAATATTGAACTAGCAATTTTCAATGTCTTGCTGGTCTCTTTTTAATGAAATAGAAACGTTTCAAATTAAGTTTCATCGATTATTAAAATATTAAACACAGGTATATTCTGGGATATTTACTATTAACAATCATCCGTCAATTCGACACATTTCTCTTGTAAAATGTGTATAAAGAACACAATGTAAAATTGAATAGAATCTACATCTGAATGGTTGGAACGCAATTCAATAATAGAAATTTAATCCATTTACTATTGATAAAAGAATCAGGCATTAATCTTTTTACCAAGGGAAAAATTAGAGACAGAGGATGGTTAACTTCAGTTCATTGAAAAATAAAGGATAAAACGAGTTGCAGGTTTTGATTATTAAAAACAGTTGTGAAAATTTTTATTAAATTAAAAGCAAAGTCAAATGCAGAAATTAATGCAGAAAAGGAAGAAGAAATGGGAGAAACGTCCGAACCAAGAAAACAGTAGAATATTAAAAATTGTGATCCTAATTTAATGGCCAGGGATTAATTACTCACAGCTCTAAATTTTATAAGTTTAATGCAAGTATACATGTACTTGGCAAGGATCATAAAAATGTTAAAACGATAACAATTACTCATTACGTAAAAATATAATATTAGATATAAAAATTATCTTATTATACATATACAATTTTTATTATACTTATTATAGAAACAGAGATTCAGATCTTATATCAAAATTTGTTGTATTAGCCTACTTTCTATCAATTTTCATGCAATTCTATCTATGTATAAATAAAACGATTTTTTTGTATAATAAGAAAATAATAGACAATGAAATGAACGTACATTTATAAAATATAAAACTTTCTACACATCTTTTTGTATCGCCTGAATTCATGAAAATAAATGCTCAAAGCAAATTACCTATGATGATATCGTACCGGTGCTCAAATATGCCACATACATGTTAAAAGTGGTCAAATAAATACAATGGAATTTTATACCTCAAAGGTTTCAACATTTTTGAACATTTCCAAATACTTGTGTTTAATGGAAAACTCTTTGCCAGTGATGTACAACTATCTCCTCAATCAAATACTAATTGCTACTTTGATATCCTAAAAATACTGCAGATATTAAATTTTCACTGTAAAATAAATAACACAAATTCTCTGTGATGTTCAATCTTGCATTTATAGGGTACAAATTGGAGCTCACATTTCTTACTGATATGCCTCAGATTTCCATCAGAAAATAAATTTAATTCCATTCCATGCAAGGTTAACAATCCCATAATCTCTGCTTATCCCACTTCAAACATACCCTGGCAAAATTCAAATTAGTCATGGAGCGAGTGGTTCGACGTTTTTAAAATCGAATAGACCGCAAACATGATCAGCAATACGGCGGATTATTTCCAATTGTCGTCGACGCTATTAAAACCGCTGGTTTCCACCAACCTTGAAGCTGGAGTGACGTGTTACGCTCGAAGGATCGAAAGATTTTTGTCAATACAATTAGAATCAAGTCGAGATAATCAATTATCTCAAGAAAAAGAATAACGAGCGTAGCTTGTCGATTGAGACTGTTTTTACGTTACACGTTACATATATTTATTGGAAATCTTTGCTCAAATTTCAATGTATCTAATTATAAGCCAGGCAAAACTCGGATAGTGTGTTGTTTCACGTACGTTGAAGCGTATGATAATCACCATCACGTTGCGTACACGGCGACTAGGGCCTTAATTATACAGGAAATTTGTCAACTGTTAATCCTTCAGGGACGACGTCTGTACTGACTCTCATACGACATTTCCCAGATGTTATTTCAACATTATTAAATTTCATAATTACCAGTGTCTCGCTCGATTTTGACATCTTGATTACGTCGCTGAAATTATTCGCAGCTAAAAATGTCAGATCAAAGTTGAACGGTCTCGAGGAGGATATATTTTCATATTAATTTTTTCGTGAGTGGTAAAGAATTATATAGCTGTCGATTTTGCTTCTTTTATTTTAAATGAAGTTACATATTTTCTTGAATCTCAATCGATGCAGTTCGACATTTTCTATGAAGAAGTATTAACTTGACGTGATGAGAATTATTGTTTGGTAGACATTTCAATTTTAATTTTGTATAAAATGATCGTATGAAAGACGAGGGGATACGCAAAATATTTAATTACTCTCCTCCCTTATATAATATTTCATACGAAATTAAAATTGAAATATCTTCTAGACTAATCATTTTTCGACATGCACGTACAATCGAATAGTGGCTTTCTGAAATGTAACAAAAATAATAATGTTTTATAAAAAAATAAAAAAAAAAAAGGTATCATATAGTAAAAATGTAATTACAGACCATTCGCATCATTCAATCACTTG